TGCTGCTGAGGTGGGGATGGGGAAGGGGAGCACAAGGGAATGATTGCTGCAGAGCCAAGGCTGTAAATGTGAGTCTTGCTCTGATGTTTTTCCCCAATTGCTAAGAGCAGACCAGAGAGAGGCTGATTGTGACTACTTGTGGGCTTTCTTGGCTAGCCGTGGAGTGGGCGTTGTATCTGGGTGCTGGAAAATGGTTTGGAAGCCCTGAAATAAGAGCTGTCTTTCCAAGGAGCTGCCTTGGTGTGGAGCAGATGGCTTTGCTGCAGCCCTGGGAGAGGTGTTAATCCCCTTTGGTCTCATCCAGCTTCCTGGTGGGCACTTGCATCTGGCTGCGAGATGTTTGCAACTGCCAAGGATGTGGAAGAACCTACCTCTGTCTTTTCAACAGTCAACCTTACTGTGGATCTTTTCTTCTGGCAAGATGGGCCCACCCATTTCCCTCCCCTTGGCAAGAACAAGACCTTGCCACCATTTCTAGACAGATCTCAGGGGAGGTGCATCCTCTTTCTTGGCAGTGCTGGGTTAACAGTTCGTTTGGATGATCTTAAAGGTCTTTTCCAACTTGAATGATTTTATGATTCTGTGACTTTGGAGGAAGAGTGCTGGAAAAACACAGCAGCCTTCCTCCTGCACACATGGGGAAGGCACAGTCGAGGCTTTCTTGGCCAGTTCCTGGTTGAATAAGAGCATCACCTATGGCCCTAAATTGGAGCTGATGGGATCTGAGCATGTAGCAGTCCATGCAATTAACTGTGTCATTCAGACTCTCTCCAGCAAGGGGCTAAGTGCTTTGGATTAGACTGAGAGATGCTTCACTGCCTGGAAATGCAGCTAGATCCAGGCTGAATCTTCAGCTTGTCCTGCAATCTCATTTCTGTCAGGAAGTAGCTATTAAGGCAGAGTTAAAATTCCCAAAAGATGCTTGGCCTGTTTTCTAGGTGTGGGTTTCACAGACAGTAATGCAACAGTGAATTATTTTAATTGGTTTCTTACAGATGTAATGCATCTCTAGTGTGTCTGATGAGATGGGAAGGGACACAGCAATGATCTCAGGGCTGGAACCCCTCTGCTGGGAGCCCAGCAGGAGAGAGTTGGGCTTGGGCAGCCTGGAGAAGGGAAGGCTCTGGGGAGACCTTTTGGTGGCCTTGCAGGACTTAAAGGGGCCTAGAGGAAAGCTGGAGAAGGACTTTTTAAGCAGGGCCTGTTGTGACAGGACAAGGGGGGCTGGGTTTAAATCAAAAGAGGGAGATTCAGATGAGATTGAAGGCAGAAATTTTGGATGCTGAGGGTGGTGAGAGCCTGGCCCAGAGAGGTGGTGGCTGCCCCATCCCTGGAACCATTCCAGGTGAGGTTGGCCGGGGCTCTGAGCAACCTGCTCTAGTTGGGGATGTCCCTGCTCAGGGCAGGGGGTTGGATGAGATGACCTTGAAAGGTCCCTCCCAACCCAAACCATCCTATGAGTCTATGTGAGCATTTCTGTACTGTGCAAGCAGAATAAAAATGCAGGTGTCTTGGTAGTCCATCTCCATGAACTGAGCTGTGCTCAAAGCACCAGGCATGCTTGGGGCTGAGAACTGAGCCAGTGCTGGGCTGTGAGACCACTGCTACAGACATCACAACCAGCAGCATCAGGCTGAGAAACTTGACTCCCAAAAGGCAAAAGATTTTTCTTCCCTAAGGATCTCAGCCCAGCTGATAGAAGGGGAAAAAAGGCAAAGGAGGGCAGAGTGAGCTTACAAAACAAGGTACCAGTAGCAAAAGCCTGTGTTGTCTCAGCAGTGAGACGTGTGAGGACACACCTCCCTCCTCCCCTGCCATCCTCAGCACTCTCCCCTTTAGCTGGAAGACTTAACACAGTTTATATCAATCCTCATTCTGCCAAGTTTGCATTTTGGCTGTGATTTGTGGGTGAAGCTACTGTAGCTGGTCGTCTTCTCAGCTGTAAGTAGAAAGTAAACACTTACAGGAATTCCTTATGCAAGAGCCTGGGCTCACTTCCCTTCTTAAGCAAAGCAGAGCTATTCTTCTGCTAAACACTTGAGGAGGAAATGTTTGTGGCTCTCAGGTCACAGAAAGCTGAATCCCCTGTTCCCAAAGAGACTGGTAGACCAAAGAGACAAAGAACATCGTTGGCCAAACTGTTTGCTCAGGGAGCACCTGCTGGGTTGGTAATGAATGAAAAAAAAAAAAGAGGTGTTAAGGAAGAAATGCTTTAAATGGAGCCATTATTTATTTCTGAAATACTCAGATGCCACAGATTCCTGCCAAGTATTTGTTTGCAGATGGTTTTGATTTAAATGCAAGGCTCAGATTACCCATCCAATGCCCCTGCTATATAAATAGAAAGCTGTCATAAGCAACAATACAGCCACTTGGTACCAGTAAGATGAGAAGTGGTTTCAGGGTAGACTATTAGAAGGGAAATTTTGTTGGTTTTTTGGCAGTATTTAAGAAACTGGATGCTGGAACAAGTTGATGTATTTAGACATAGGGAGCAAGAGTCCTTACTTGAGAAGTCATCGAGTCAGAGAGTCTCTAAGACCTGTGGAAGTTAGAGAAGTTCAGAATCCCTAGATTTAATTCTCTTTTTAGGGTTTTACCATTCTTAATCAATGGGAATACAGGTTAATTTGAAAAAACAACATAGAGGAAAGGCAAGGACCTTTCTAATAGCTCAGAGGCTTCCCAGCCAGGACCAGAAGCACAAGACTCAACTTCCTTAACTGGTGGAGCTCAGGAGTCTGGGCAGAAAAGGGAAAACTTAGTTCAGGGCTGGATTTATGAAGATAACTTTTTTAAAAACCCAATAAAACCAGAGGATACTGCAAACTGAAACTGAAGAACCACTTGGCAGTGGATCCACAACATCTGAAGGCCTCAGGAAAGTCCATAGTCACTCATCACTGCTGGTCTTTATCAAGACATCAGAGGAGAGCTGGGCTGCCCCTTAGACATGTGCAGTGGGTGTGTTATTGTCAGATAACTGTTGTGGTGGAGGAAATGAAAGACCTACATATGAGCTGAACTGCAGCTCCTTCCCCTTGCTTTGTCACTGATGACCTAAACCACCAAACATGAAGATTTTTGGAGAGAATTTTGAACAACTTTCCATCCCCTTCAGTACTGCTAAAATAAGTGTCCAAACAGAGTGTGCCCGGGCAAACCACAGAGGGAAGTGCAATTGGTGACTGTCCTGTGAGCTGCCTTTGTGGTAGGCTGAGTCTATGTAGCCTTTTTCTCATATGGAGAACAAAAAAAGATGGACCACATTACTTTTGAAAAGGAAATCAGAGACTTTTCACCTCCCCAACACTGCAACCTCAAACATCCTTACACTTCGCTCACTTCCCCAGAAATTCTGGTGTCACAGCCTTTGACAAATAAACTACAGACAACTCCCCAAAAAAACTGTAGGGGCAGCTGAATTCTTCCTCAGTCACACCCTTCCTCTGGGTGCTGACATCTGGAGCTTTCAGGACTGAACTTCCTCAAACTTCCAGAAAATTGCTCTCCTGTTTTTGGTGAATCCCCATCCCTTTTATTGCTCACACTTCTCCTATTTTTGTTCTTTTCACTTTCTCAGCTTTGCTTTAAATACCTTTGAATTCTCCTTATAGTAACTTTCCAGTACTTCAAGGGGCCCTATCGGAAAGCTGGGGAGGGACTTTTGAGCAGGGCCTGTTGACTCAGGACAAGGGGGGATGGTTTGAAACTAGAAGAGGGAGATTTAGACTAGAGAGAAGGAAGAAACTCTCTACAATGAGGGTGGTGAGCCCCTGGCCCAGGCTGCCCAGAGAGGTAGTCGCTGCCCCATCCCTGGAACCATTCAAGGCCAGATTGGATGGGGCTCTGAGCAACCTGCTCTTGTTGAAGATCATAGAATCATAGAATGGTTAGAGCTGGAAGCAATCTTAAAGGTCAACTAGTTCCAAGCCCCTGCCATGGGCAGGGACACCTCCCACTAGACCAGGTTGCTCCAAGCCCCATCCAACCATGGGCTTGAACACTTCTAGTAATGAAGCATCCACAACTTCTCTTGGACAACTTGTTCCAGTGTCTCACCACCCTCGCAGTGAAGAACTTCTTCCTTACATCTAATCTAAATCTACCTTCTTCCAATTTCAACCCATCCCCTCTCATCCTGTCACAACAGGCCCTGCTAAAAAGCTTATTCCACCTAACTTTTGGTGTGAAAATGAAAGAGAAGTGCCAGCAAATAGTTTAATTGGTGTTGTTCTGGATTTTCCTGCTATCTGTTGGGTGTCTGGTGTGAGCTGGGTGGGTGCTTGTTTCAGAAGGGGCCAAGGGGACACAGCAGCCCCATCTTTGCCCATCACGTCAGGATTGTGCAGGGGGGGTGATGAGGAATGTGCCCCTCTCCTCTTGCAGGTGCCTGTGCCTCTACATCCCTGTCACCACTTCACCAGGAGGATGCCAGCTCTGCATGCAGCAGATTTGGGCTGTGCCAGGTCCTTGTTACCACCCCTCTTTTTCAGGTCCCGTAAATACGCCGTGTCTCCCCCAGCCCTCCTCCTTGCCAGGAGGGGAGGTCAGAGTGTGGAAGGCATCACTTTGTCCAAACAGAGCACGCAGGACATGGTGCAGATGATCAGATATGAATTGCTGGACATTTTTGTAAGTAAAAAAAGTAAAGTCTCCTTTTTCCATTGTGGTCGTTTGCAGAACACTGATTATAGCATGGAGCTGCACAAAACAAATATTTGTTCATTATTTCTGTCCTGCTGAGTTACATTTGGGTTTGAATTTTATGGCTTGGATCAGACAGTCTGGATGAGAATCTGCTGTTTGTTGTGTGGTCTCGTGGGAGGAGACCCTGGGGGTCACCAGCCTGCTTGGTGCTCACAGCCTCAGACCCGCTGCCGCGGAGGCTCGGCCTCTTGCAGCGTCTGCTTCCTGCCTCATCCACTTGTCTCCTAGAACCTGGGGAGAGCTTGGAGCTGGGTTGAGCTGGCCTTGCTTCTGCCTTCCCTGCTCACACCCTTCCCCTCAGAGCACACAGCTGCTCCTACAGACTTGGCTCCTAATCCTCACACCAGGCAGGGCTGGGTGCAGACATCTCCAACGTGCACCAAGGCCCCAGCACCCAGGCTCGTTTTCAAGCTGCTTACATTCCACGTGGCCCCTCCAGCTTTGCTTAGCCCCCACAACCCCCCACGAAAGGCCATAAAGAACGTTGTCCTGTTCACCCTATAAACCCCAACTTCTTGTTTTGATGTCTTGCAGCCAGAAATCAACGTGCAAAATCTGCCCCACTACTTGCAACTCGGAAAGCCCTTCCTCATCCTGTTCAGCGATGGTGACATCGGTCAAATGGAAAGCAAGGAAATGCTGAAGCTGGCAAAAGGAACACCCCAGCAAGCATTTGTGGCTTGTTGGTTGAACTTGTGAGTGTGTGAAAACCTCTTTTCTTCTTTCCGTTAGCTCGCTCTTGTCATTTCAGGGCGAGAAAAAACTGAGTCTGCAATTACTGCAAACACCATCTCGCTGCTAATGTGATTATTCGGTCTGAAATCATCATGAGCTGGGAGGTCAAGTCATTTAGCAATGATTCAGTGTGTGTTCTGGGCAGCTGCAAGGTTGCACGACCAAGTAAAATCAGGCAATGTTTAATTGGTTGCAGAAATGGCTTTCAGGAGAGTAAAATGTTCTCAGAGGTATCGCGTGGTAGCTTCACCCTGGCTCTGGTGGGGTTTGTGTTTTTGTCACGTGTGGGAGGGGAAAAAAAGTGAATTGCCCTCCTGGAATGTCTTATGGTGATTTTTTCCACCAATTAGAGGCAAGCACAACAGGGCAATTACGGATTGTTGACTGAAAAGAAAGTTTTTAGAAGGAGCAGCCAGAAGTCGTCCCATAAAGCAAACCTGAAAAATATTCAAGTATCACAATGATTCCAGCAGCTAAGAACTAGAAAGTTATAGGAGAAAGTTGTTTGTTTTTTTTTTTAAATGCCCCTCCCTAGTTGCATTTTCAATTTTTAGCCTCTGTTTGTTTTGTCCAAGCCCAGAAACACCTCAATCTCTTAATCATAACATGCTCTGAAGCCTGGGAAACACAGCGCAGCGTGGGCCGGAGTTCAGTGAGTGGGGACACACGTGTTTTTAAAGAGAAACCCACTTCTCTGCCAGGAATGCACAAGAAATGAGCCCCTGGAACTTCCCCACCTACACATCTGCCTTCTCTCTCCCTTCCCGAGGAGGAAAGGGCTGGCCTGTGTCAGAGCAAAGTGATGTTGTAACGAAAGAGGGCAGAATATGGGCTGAGAAAGGGTCATAGAATTGGTTAGGTTGGAAGAGACCTTGAAGATCATCAAGTCCAACCACAGACTCAGCACTGCCAGGTCCCCACTGCCCCATGTCCCTCACACCACATCTCCACGGCTTGGAAACCCCTCCAGGGGTGGGGACTCCACCACTGCCCTGGGCAGCCTGGCACAGCCCTGGGCAACCCTCAAGGGCAAGAAATTGTTCCTCAGGTCCAACCTCAACCTCCCCCGGGGCAACTTGAGGCTATCTTCTCTTCTATCTCTTCTTCTGTGGGAGCAGAGCCCGACCCCCACCTGGCTCCAGGCTCCTGTCAGGAGCTGTGCAGAGCCAGAAGGTCTCCCCTGAGCCTCCTTTGCTCCAGGCTCAGCACCCCCAGCTCCCTCAGCTGCTCCTCAAAAGACTTGAGCTCTAGACCCCTCACCAGCTTCATTGATCTTCTTTGGCTATGCTCCAGCACCTCAATATCCTTGTAGTGAGGGGATGAGCTTATAAATAATGATTTAGCTCATAAATAATGCAGTGAGCTTCTACAGCTGTCTCACAAGGCGAACTGTGGGTTTTTCTGGCTGTGACCCAAGGGCCTTGTTGCTTGCTTGGCTCTCAGTCCTGTTGTGCTTCCAAACCACTGGTCAGCAGGTTGAGTCTCCTCTTCCCCACAGGAGGAAGACCCCAGTGGGACGTGGCATCCTGAAGGCATATTTTACCACCATCCCTCCACTCCCTGTCCTCATCTGGGTGAACCTTCATGCTGGGGGTCAGGTATTCAAGTTCCCACCAGAGCAGCCCATCACTGAAACCAACCTCTTGTCTTGGCTGGAGAAGATAGAAGCAGGAGTGGAGATTCCCAGCAGTAAGTGGGGTCGGGTTTGGAATGTTCCTCAGCACACACTGTTAACTCCAGTCTGTTTATCAGAAGATGCTACGTGCAATAAATTGTCTGCCCTGGAATTTAATGATGGAAAAACTAGCTAGGCTAGTTTGAGCTGGAGAAGTACAAATAGTCCAGCCAGCAGAGAATACCCACACTCACAAGTTCGCTTCAGGACTGTTTAATGCCCAGAGCCAAGTGTGAATAGTTCTGATTCGGCAGCTCTTCCCCTGATAATCCCAAACCTGGCTGTGCTCTCCAGTTGCTGTGAACAGATCTTCTGGAACACAGCTTGCTCATAAAAAACCTCCTGATTCCCAGCTGTCAGCATAAGAAGTAGCTGCTCTTTAGGCACCTTCCAGCATTGGCTTGGATGGGAGAGCAGAAGGAAGCCAGTGCTTTGCTGTGGTCTTTGGAAAAGAAAGGGTTGGCTTGTAGTGAAGCTTTTTTACTACATCCCTTCTGCCTTCATCAGCCTGCTGAAGGTTTGGAGGAAGGGAGCAGATGTGCTTTCCTCCTGTCTTATGTGGAGCCACAGGATGCTACAGGGGTCTTGGGAATAACCAGCTGCCAACCTGCTCCAGGCTCTGGAAAGGTGATGATGGGGTGACTCCACTTGATCCTTGTGAATATTAAGATGAGCCTTTCAAAGCAAGTCTTTCCAAAAGCATGGTGGAGTAGGATGTGTAGGCTCTTGCTGGGGTTTTAAGACACCGTTTCTGACCCAGTAATTGCTGGGAGAACCCTCTGAGCCAGGCATCCTTCTGTGCTTGCTTTCTCTTGCTGCTAAAGGCACCTGGCTGTCATGTAGGTCTCTAGGTAGGGACCTGAGTTTTCAGGGGTGTCAGAGGGGTGAGCTGATGGCTCAGCAGCTCGCTGCACTGCCAAGGGCTGTGCCAGCCATCCCAGCCTCCTTCCTCAGGCTTTGAAGTGCTACAAACCATGTGATCAGCCTTAAAAGCACAAATTCAAGAGCATCCTCATGTAATGGGGCCACTTTCTCCTCCCCTCACCCCTAGTGTTGTCACAGTAATGCACAGATGTTAACCCAGTTCTCTGAGACCTGAACAAAGCATCCACCCACTGGTGGACAGACCCCAAGTGTGACCTTGGCAGGGGGGGTGTCTGAGGACTGAGGGGCCCCCACAGCCTTGGCTGGTGTTATCTGGGGGGTGGTGTTAGTTTTGGAGGAAAGAGGGTGATCTTTAAGAAAAGATTGTTAATTTTTCATTCGTTGGGAATGAAAATCCCATAATTCCTTTGAAAGGGAGATTTCCATGGAGTGGGGCTGCATAACTCATTAACATGGGGCTGCATTTGCTCCTCAGGTACCTTGTCTGAGGAAGAGTGGAAACCACCTCTCCCTGCTTATGACTTCCTTCAGATGATGGAGACAGCCGAGCTCCCCCTCCACACCTCCCACCATCATGGGGACACACCCAGGAGCCCAGGAGAGGACCCTGTGACCCGTGAGGAGCTGTCCCAGGAGAACAAGGCAGAGAAAGTCGGGTCGCCTGGGAGGGACCTGAGGGGAACAGCCCCAAGGCTGGCAGCAAGGGAGAAGCAGGGCAAGAGACACAGTGAGCTCTGAGAGATGGGCATCCCTGTGACTGGAGCAGTGGAAGATGGGGGACCACGGAATCCCAGACTGGTCTGGGTTGGAAGGGACCTTAAAGGTCACCTAGTCCAACCCCCTGCCCTGAGCAGGGACATCTGCAGCTAGAGCAGGTTGCTCAGAGCCCCGGCCAACCTCACCTGGAATGTTGCTAGGGTGGGCAAGCTCCTCACTTTGCCACCCATCCATGAGCCTTTACACCAAGGAGAGAAGTTCTTTTAGCTGTAAATTACCAGTGAAAGGATAAAACAGTCCCTAAGTCCCTGTGTGAGTTCCCTGCTCCAGCATGTTGGTCATTCACCATTAGGAGTGAGACCTTATTGCAGCTTTCCAGTATCTGGAGGGGGCCTACAAGAAAGTGGTGGGGAGACTTTTTACAAGGGCTGGTAGTGGTAGGATGAGGGGTGATGGCTTCAAACTGGGGGAGGGGAGATTTAGATTAGATGTAAGGAAGAAGTTCTTCACTGTGAGGGTGGTGAGACACTGGCACAGGTTGCCCAGGGAAGCTGTGGATGCTTCATTACTGGAAGTGTTCAAGCCCATGGTTGGATGGGGCTTGGAGCAACCTGCTCTAGGGGGGGGGGTGC